CCCTATCCCCTCGTCGTGCCTTTACGACCTCCCACGACTATCAACCTTATACGGCAGAAGTAAGGCACACCTCAAAAACGCATCAGAAAAGGTTTTTCCGATGCTAGAAAACCCTCCAATTGATCTTGACCTCGCGATGTGTGGTTATGAATAAAAAAAGGATTTCAAATACTAAAATTAGTGCATCTTGTAACTCAATATCTGGACCATTCATTTTCAAAATTTTCAAGTGTGTATAGATATGCTTGATCTTTACATTTTTCGAGCTTCAAATATCATAATTAGGGATGGAAATAGATTTACAGGCCATCGTAAAACTTTGCAACACCAAAACTGCGTCTTTTAGCTAAGTCTAAAAGTGTGCCTTAATCTAATTGTTTAACGTTAACATCTCATGCAAACCGCACCCTGTGTGTGCGTGCATGCGTGTGTGCGTGCATGTGGTATTTCTTGCCAATGCATTACCATTGTTCATTTGTATTACCTATTTAAGGTCTCTTTTTGTCCTTTTGTATTGTCTAAGTTATTTAACTCACAGTTCTCTCCGGATATGTAACAAATGAGGGTGCTCTGTAATCCTCTAATGAAATTCCCCTTACTTCAAGAGGGTTTTATCTTCATGAACGAATGAATACATCTTGATTAGCCAAGCATGGTCCCAAAAGAGAGATTGATGTAGTGCACAAATTGTATTTGACCAGCTTTTACTTAGTTTCTTTTTTGTTCCTCCATACACCATTTATAGTGATCTTTTATTGTTTGGCATTGTAGAGGCAATTTTTTCTGGCTTAGTCATTACATAGGCATTCCTTAAGAGCCCCTTTGGGTCTTTGAGAATTAATTTTTAGGATATGTTTCCTTGTAAATAAGGCATCTCCAATAATTTCTAGCATTTGACCCCCAACTTGGGGCATAAATCTTCCTGTCATCCCCTTATTAACTCATTTTGGGAAAAAGCTCTTCCAACTAAATAACATTTATTCTCTGAGAGTGAATCTTCTTTACCTCCAATCATCTCTCTCCTACAAATGCCGTACCTTCTCTCTCCATACAAACCCTGAAGCATCTCTCTCTCCTTGGAGCATTCAAGAATTTTTTTTCCAGGGACCCAAACAGGCCCTAAGGGGTTTCCACTTAGAACGGTTCATGTTTGAATTTCTTAATGTTGACATTTGATTTTGTGGAAAGGGGCTATCTATTTTGGCCATATCCTTCAGATTTAATCTATTTATAGGGTTTGTAACTGTAATATAAGCAACGAGTCTGGATGCTCACAAATTTGATGGAAGGGAAAGATACCTCAGGGTTGCTTAATGATACCTCAGAGTTGCTTAATGTCTACTACAAGATCGGGAGTGCATGACAACTAAGGTTATTTATTTTCTTAAATGCTTCTTTTCTGGCTCGTAATCATGCAAGGAAACTCTACAATCTTGATTTGATGGGCGCTTCAATTCCTTGAACATAGGTAGATATGTCAGAGTATTCTAGATGTCACTTGCTCTGTTCATATCAGTGTTCCAAAAAGCGGACCTCCTAGTGCTTGGGTGGCTGCTTAGGCGGATCTGGTGGCCTGGGCGCATCGCCTAAGCCTAGGCGGCCGTCCAGCGCCCCACCCAGAAGTGGAAATTACTTTCGGTGGGGGTATTTTTTGTCCATTGTTTTGATACTAAAGGGCCAAAAATGGGGGTTTTAGGTTCATTTGAAACCTAAAATTTATTGGAGCCCATTTTAAAGAGAAAGCTTTCAAAAACTACTTTTTTGGTGATTTCTTTAGGCTCGAAGGGTTTCTCAAAGTTATGAGAAATTGATCAAAACATCACCCATTGATATTAGATTTAATTTTTGATGTTTTATAAATCTATTGGGGGGTTTTTTAAAATATTTTGAGTCCTTAGAAGCATCTTTGAGGTTAAAGTTTCGAGATTGAGCAATCAAACCCAAAGTAAGTGATTTTTTTTATTGCTTGTGTAAATTGCATTATTTTGAAATTTCTTCGGGATCTAATAGGAGTGGTGATCCCCGTTGGAAATATGGCTACATCCCAGATCCTAATGATAAAAATTGCATAAGATGCAATTTTTGTGAGAATGATACAAAAGGGGTCATAAACCGGTTCAAGAAACATCTTGTCGGTATCAGGGGGGATGTTGGCCCATGTAAAAAAACTCTTGATGCTGTTAAAAGAGGAAATAACCAATTTTTTTAATATGGAAAAATGAAAAAAGATGAAAGATTTGCCTCCATAGCAGAGATTAGGTTTGGGGTTTGGGTCAATTATGATGATGATGATAGTGATGAGGATGGGGATTGGGAAGAGATGTCAAGAGGTAGAAGTAGAACAATCCATTATTAGGGGAAAGGGAATGGGCGTTGTAATTGCTTCTGGTTTTAGTTCTCGGAGTAAGAAGCCTCGGGTTAGAGGCCCTATGGATAGTTTTTTGCCTCGGCTTGACCTTGAGGTTGCAGAAGAGAAATCAAAGAAGCAAACTACCATTGAAAATAAAATGAAGAAGGAAGAGAGAGGCAAAGCTGCTTATTATCTTGCTACATGGTTTTATGACTCGAGCATTCCTTTCAATACCGTTTAAGTAACTTCTATCCCACGGTAGAGGCAATTGGCCAATTTGGGCTTGGGATGAAACTCCCAACCCCATATGAGCTTTTAGAGCCTCTTTTGAAAAAGGCGGTGAGTGTCACGAATAAAGCTGTAGAAGTTAAGAAGGATGCATGGGCTCAGTATGGGGTTTCTATTATGACTGATGCTTGGAGTGATAGGAAGAGAATAAGTTAGATGAATTTTTGCTTATGAATTGTCCTTTAGGGACTGGTTTTTTTAGGTTTATTGATGCCTCTGATCATATCCATGATGCCCATTACATGTTCCAATTTTTAGAGATGGAAATCAAGGAGGTTGGGGAGCATCATGTTGTACAGATTGTCATAGACAATGTTGCTGCAGCTAATTTGTTGCACACAACTTATTCAGTTATCCTAGAATCTTTTGGACACCATGTGCAACTATTGTATAGACCTCATGCTTGAGGTTCTTGGCGGTTTACCAGGCAAAGTCAGTTACAAATTTCATTTATAGCCACCATCTCACCCTCAGCATGATGCGTAGATTTACAAAGAAGAAAGAGATTGTGAGGCCTGGGGTCACGAGATTTGCGACCTGGTACTTATGCCTAGATAGCATACATTCGAGGAGAGTGCAGTTGAGGCAGATGTTTACCTCAGATGACTGGAGAGCATGCAAGTGGTCCAAGGATCAAGTTGGGAAGAAGGTGAGAGATATTATCCTTTCTGAGGATTTTAACGAGAGGTGAAGGGCGCTCTTAAGATATTTTTTTCTCTTGTCAAAGTCCTTCGCATGGTTGATAGTGACAGGCCTTCTATGGGCTATATATATGAGGTTATGGAGAAATGCAAAAGTGAGATAGCCCAAAATTTTGATGATGATGAGAATTGCTACAAGCCTGTTTGAGAGATTATTGATGAGAAGTGGGATAGGCAGCTACATCGCCCATTGCATACAACTGGTTATTATTTGAACCCAGCTTTTTTTTATGTTGACAAGGATATACACACAAATGATGTGCCCTAAATACCTAATTCTTATACTTTATACAATATATAACTATAGAATCCTTTTTGGATTCAACGGGGCCGTCCAGGTTCTGGGCGCCTGCCTAGGTGCTGGGCGGCCTGGACCCCCCAGGTCACCTAGGACCCGCCTAGCACTTTTTGAAACAGCAGTTCATATATTTGCATATGTTTATGGAGAAATGGTTATGTTGATAACCTATCATGGTTTGGAGTTGCTAAGTAGGCTTTGAATTTTTTGGATTGCCCTCCATTTGCAATTCAATAATTTGAATGGGGTTGAATCCCACTATTACTTAGGATACAAGGTTAAAATAATGAGGGGGCTGAAATATTTGCGTTCTTGGTTAAATCGTTAGGGATTTGAGGGTGCAATAGGGTATCGCAGTTATCGATTCCACACTAACTTTCCAGATTGTAAAATTTTCCCACTGAATGATAGACTACATCTAGTTTCAGGATCCGAGCCTTTGAGAGAGGCTCCAATTCGGAATGAATTATAGTTTTCCCTAGGTGGAACTAGAAAAGACCTCGTCTTGATGGTCATTGCATTGTATATGGAATATTTGAGGTGGCCTCTGTATGGACATTTAGTACTCTGTGCTTCATGCTTGGTTTGTTCTCTAGTTTCCCTAGCATGACAATTATATGATTAGTGATCCTTGTTACTTTCAACACATAACGAGTGGACTATGTAACTGCTTGATTTCTATGCAAACTTTCAAGCACGGAGTTCATCTCATGCATCTGTTACCTTTTTCAATGTAAAGATGCAGGGCATAGTGATCTCTTTACAAACTTTTGAATCACCTGTAAAATGAAGAATGACTTTTGACATTTTTGTAAGCAGTTGCAAAATAGTCTATAATATTGCTGTAAAATTCTTGGAGTCTTTATTCAAAAAGAAGTAATATGGTCTTTTGAGCACACGTATGCACGAGCTTACAACTCCTGCTTTTAACTTTTCTGAACCATTGAATTACATTGATTATCTTCTCCAGGGGCATCATAAAACCCATCACAGCGATGAAGAGCATTGACATAATGAAGAAGGTACTCATTTTACTCTTATTCGTAATACTAACCGTAGTGCATTTGGGTCATCACTGTACAATCAAATGAATGGGATCACCATTGGGGTCATGTCCTGTTTTGGTGGCTCCAACCATCACCAACTTTCAGTTCATTGGAATGTGATGACCCCAATGGACTACGTTTTCCACAGTTTATTTGAGTAGTGTATTCTTTCCCAAGATGGTAACACTTGAATTAAATTGATCACCTCATAGTTAACTTTCGTAAAAATTATCATGATATCATCATTAATATGTTGGTCATGTAAATTGAATAGAATATTCAGGACTGCCTCCCAAGTTGCCCACTTGAACTTTTAGATAGTTTCGCCATTCAAAAAATTCTACCAGGTCTATCTGCCCCTTCAGGTTTTGCAATCTATATGCCCAAAGCAGTTAATGTCCATCCTGAGCGTTATCTCCAGGTAGATATGTTCTGAAATCAGAGAAATGACCAACATTTTCTTTTATATTGTCTTCCTTTCTTGTTTTCCTGTTTTTGGAATTCACTATTCTACTAATTCTAACATGATATACAATTTTTTCTAGGCTCTCTTTTTGGCATGCAATAAACTAGTGAAGGATTTATCTGCTGTGGGATATTCGGGAAAACAAGTGAACTTCTACAAGCAGACAGTCCACAGTCTCCAAGAAATTTCAGGTTACTTTAAAAACTTTCCTCGCCTTTTTACAGCTAGAATGTCCTTTCTACTTTAAAAACTTTTCTCGCCTTGACCTTCATTTAGAGCTCATGCATTTGTTCATGAGTTCACCCTATAGTAACTTAAGGACATTTGCGTAACTAGATTCTTGTGAATTTAATTGAGGTCTGCCCTTTGTCCCTGATATCATGAGTGAGAGAGAAACTGATCTTCTCTTGCATCCTACTACCTTATTAATATGAACCTCTGCATGAACTTGACTAAAATAAAATGACTTTTAGAGGGTGAACATGCTTGAGGGACAGGATGATCTTTTCTTACTTCTTACAACCCTATATATCCGTGTGTGTGTGCATCTGTGCGTGTGTGTGGCTCATTCCCTTACAACCCTATTCATATGGCTATGCATGAATTTGAGCAAAACAAAATGGTTAAAAGTGTGTGAATGCCCCACAATGCAATACACTAGATAGTCAAACATAATGGAAGGAAAAATCATTGTAGTTCATTTGAAGTTGCATAACTTGGAATGACAAGCTACAGCTAGTGTCACATTTAAACAATAATACTTTGTGAGAAAATTTATGCTATTTGATTTGATTTGAGAAGTTGCTTTTCCACACGTGTGCACACACACACACGCACACACACAGAGTTCCGAAAGGCAGTTAAGCATTGATGACCTCAATTATGGTTCTAAAAATTTTGCAGGTGAATACAGTGCAGTTGTAATCTGTCTGGGTGCGCGATCTGAATCGCTGCCCGAGCTCAAGGGAGTCCTGCCTCTAAGAATGTGCAGAGGTGTCGTTGCCCACCTTGACCTGCCAGGCAATATGAGGTAACATCCCAACTGACTCTTCACAAATGCAAGTAAAAATCTACTATAATATAATGGAGTACGGTGTGCAATGCTCCAAAGGGTGTTCACCATCCATTATTGATGATGGATAGTAGAGATTGGCATTGTGGGGCCCACTGGGAAATTCGCTCAAGTACAGGTTACACTCCACCATTCAACATCATCATCATGGAAATCTTATGGATGCCTTTTCAGAGTACTGTAAACCATACTATGCTGGATTATGGTCATGTTCTCTAAAATATTAAAAAGAAAGTGTCATGCTTCCTCTGAAACTAAATGGAAAGTATACTATATTCCACTAGACTATACCATACTCGATCAGTAACAGGGAAAAAAAATACAATATACTTAAGAGTCCACTTAGGTTACCCCTGTCCGATGAAATGGATGTTGGAGAGTGGGACCCACAGGCATGGCCACAAAGATGGGTTCATCCCACACTATCTTTCATGATTTCATTGGCTATTGTCGAATCCATTGATTATGCTTTCCATGGTTCATTGGATTATAATATGTTTCCCAAAATAAAAAAAAACAAAAAAGAGGGAAACATAATCAAGTATACTATGATCTATATGATAGGTCATAAGGTTCACCTCCATCCCGTCAATAGGTTTGGACAGTGGAAGGAATGTGGCTCCAAAAGGCATTCTATTAAAATTGAGTTGTACGTCTCATTCTCCCCCCAACGCTATCCTACCCGTCAAAGTGGATGGTGGTGACCCTTATGAGATGTTGGTAGTGTTACTATGATATTTGTACTCTCTCTGAAGAAGACAAATATAAAGAGGTTCCATATCAATAATGTTGTATATCATTTTCAGTGGTGGTGAATATAAAGACAGTGACCCCTCCATTTTAGCAGATGCCTGGCTTGCAGTTCGTGGACCCCGCAGCCTAGCTATGGGTTCCACGTGGCAATGGGGTTCGAGAAATTATTCTCGAACCCTTTCTTCAGATGAAGAATCCTCAGCCATGCACGAGCTTCTGTCAAAGGCCTCGATTTTGTACCCAGATATTAGGAATTGGAGTTGTGAGAGTGCGAGTGCTGGGTTGAGAGCCATGCCACCTTTGACTACTCTTGGGTCACTACCATTGTTGGGTTCTGTTGATAATTTAGTAGGGCATAATAGTGGTGGAGGGGGAAGATACTGGTTTATGGGTGGGCTTGGGGCAAGAGGACTTCTCTATCATGGATGGTTGGGCAAGTTAATGGCTCAAGCTGTTTTATCTTGCAGTGCGGCTGAAATACCATTTGAGCTGACTACATGGAAGAATAGAATGTGATGGGTTTGTTGTAACAGTAGTGGTCTGTTTTGTTTTTGGTGACATTGTAGAGGATTTTCAGGCTTTTTGGTTTTGTTGAATTTTTTGGAAAAACCTCGAAATTTTTATGAGATGTATGAAATTGATTAAAATTTATGCTGCCACATTTTGGTAAATTTACAACTCATATTTCTATTGCAAAGTTGCATCTACAATCTTACATTAGGAATTACCAAAGCATAAATTTGTGGACTACAATTAAAAATAGAAGAAGTGAAATGTCATAATAAGTACGAAATGTTTTCTTTTCTAGAAAGGGATTGCATACAATGATACTGTTTATCTTTGATACAAGGAGGTCACAATTACCACAACCATTGGATGTGAAATTTGATAACTTGGGTATGTCACAAAGTTCAAGAAAATTTATTTTCAAGTTTGAGTTTGGTCAATGGAATAATGTGAAATCTGATAACTTGGGTATGTCAATGGAAAATTAATTTTCATCTAATTCACATCTAACGTTCAAGATTAATTGTGATCATCTAATGCTCAAGATTAAATGGTCTTATTGTATGCTTTTCCTTTTTGAAAATGACATATTTTAAAAGGCAATTGGGGAATATATATAGATAATAACTTAGAGAAAAGGGAAATGATTCCTCTTTGCCAACTTCAATTTTAACAGTTGATTGTAGATTTGCCTATTTCATTAAACACTCAACATTGCAACAAAGAGAGAAATCCAAATAGGAAAGCTAAATGTTTTATCAAACACAATTGAACGAATCTAGATTTTCAAAGAGACGAAATAGTAAAACACAGGCAACAACATGAAAACAATAATGTTCAAATCATAGAAATCATAATTTTAAAGGAGTATTTTTAGAAATAGAATTTCAAAACTTTTAGAAAAATGCTATAGAAGAATCAAAAAATATCTAAAAAATTTTAGATCATAGAATAATATTTTTACATATAGTAAGTTTTAAAGTGATTGTATATTGTGAAACCATTTATCATTGTTCCAAGGTCACAAATACCTCTAGCCATCCGATTTCAAATTAGGACAATTCAATGTTATATCATGAAGTTCGAGAAATTTTATTTGAATTTTGAATTTAGTCAGTGACACACAACCACGCGATTTGAAATCTAATGGGCAAGAATGATTGCGACCTCTTTGTACCAAAGGAAGATGGTCTCTTTCTATACTTTTTCAGTTTGAAATAATTGATTCAAGTTTGTTGATTCAAAAACAAGGTAGCTTTCCATTCGTTCTCATTAACAGTAGGGTGCCCTTTTATTTCAACTAATTTAAGTGCAACATGCATGTATAACAAACATAAATACAGATACTTTAAATTATAGCAAAAAGAACCATAGTTATGACTAAGCATTTAACTATGGAAAAGATATATGATAGGGTGGAATGGAGTGTTTTGTTGGAGTTATCAGGGTTATGGGCTTTTGTGAGAAATAGAGATCTTGGATTATGGGTTGTATCTCGAGTGCTCATTTTTTGGTGTTAGTTATGGAAACCCAAAAGGCTTTTTTGGATCTGCCAAGCGTTTGCGACAGGGGGACTCACTATTACTTTTTGTTTATTATGGTAGCAGAGGCTTTTAGTTTGATGATTAATAATGTGGTGTCGTGGGACCGCTTTAATGGCTTTAAGGTTGGAAATGATGCCAATTTGGTTATTTCACACTTATAGTATGCAGATGATACACTTCTTTTTTGTGGTGCAAAGATGGAGGAAGTAGAAATTATAAAGCTTATGCTTCCATGCTGTGAGATGGCTCTGGGTTTAAAAGTTAATTTCCAAAAGACTTCATTAGTTGGTATTGGTTGTTCGCAGGAGTTGGTAGAGGGTTTGGCTGAGGTGATGGAGTGTAGGGTCGAAAGTTTCCCTATCAAGTATTTAGGAGTTCCGATTTCTGATTCGAAACTGCCTAAATCAGTTTGGGACATTGTTGTGCAACGAGCTCATACTACGCTTGATTTATGGAAAATGAAGCATGTCTTTGGGTGGAAGGCTCACTTTCATCCAAGCTTGCTTATCTAATTTGTCTGTGCCAACATTAGTAAGTAGCATTTGGAACAAGTTATGAGGAATTTTCATTTAGAACAACTTATGAGGAATTTTCTTTGAGGGTCTTATGGAGATGAGCATAAATATTATTTGGTAAATTGGGATAGAGTTTATACTCCTAAGAAGGATGGGGGTTTGGGGATTAGGAGAGTGAAGTTAGTTAATCAAGCATTGCTAGCAAAATTGTGGTGGGGCTCTAAATTGTGTTGGTGATCAATTATGGTATGAGGTTTTGGTCACTAAATATAGCTATGATTCTATCCATCTGGTTGCTAGAGGAAGAAGAGCTAATGAACATTCCCCTATGTGGAAAGGTATTGTGGGTACTAGAACTTTGGTATTAGGAAGTTTGAGATGGATATTGGGGATTGGACATTCCATTCTATTTTGGCATAGCAGATGGCTGGGAGAGGTGGCTTTAAAATTTCGGTTTCTGGCTCTATTTTCATTTCTCTTATAGTAGATTGCCAGACATTTTAATACATCAATTTGCAGAGCTCACGAATCTTCTTGCAGGATGCTGCATATCACACTCGATAGGTGATGAGTTGGTGTGGGAAGCTGAACAAGATGGACAGTTCAGTATTCGGTCGGCTTACAGTCTTCTATTCTATAACGGGCTTAGATGGAATGATGTATCTTTGAACAAAATTTGGAAGTGGCCAATACTTTTGAAAGTTCGTTGTTTTTTGTGGATCTTACTTCAAGGAAGGACTCTTAACTATGGATAATCTCATTAAAATGGGGAGAACAATGGTGAATATATGCCTTCTTTGTAAAAATGATGTTGAATGTGGAGACCAGCTCTGCTTACGTTATTCTTTCTCCTATAATATTTGGATTTGGGTCTTTAATATGTTAGGATTATCAATGGTTGTTCCTGAAACTCATATTGATATATTGGAATAGTTGGATAATGTATGCTGCAGTTCTTTGGGAGATATGGAAGGAAAGAAATAATGGACTTTTTGAAGGTAAAATAGTGGAGTTTGATGTGGTGAAGAGAAGGATTATTCATAACATTTGGAGTTGGTTCTCGATCACTGAGGAGGGTTTTGGGATCTCGGAGATAGATGTGTCGGTGAATATTACAAATCTAATAAGCTAAAGGTCAATCAAGGTTCAACCAAGATATATTTGGTGTCCACTGGTGCAGGGTACAATCAAGTTGTGAACTTTGATGGGAGCTCACATGGTAACCTGGGTGCAGCTGGTTTTGGGGGGGTGATTAGAAATCCATAAGAAGTACTTTTATGCTATAGTGGTCCATGTGGGGTGGTGACTGCAAATGTTGCACAAATGGAGGTTTTACTCCAAGGTATGTGTATTCTATTTCAACATTTTATGACCCAATTGTGTGTAATTGGAGGGGATTCTATGAACATTATCAGTTGGTGTTTGAAGGAATCTCGTACACCATGGAATTTAAGAAGTAAATGAATGGAAGTAATGGCGATTACGAGTCAAATGTCAGTATCTTTTCAGCATGTCTACAGGGAAGGAAATACGATGGTTGATGGTCTTGCTAATTTAGGGGTTTTGATGGATGAATTGCTGATTTCGGAAGATCTTTTCCTTTTAAGTTTCTTTTTTCCTTGTTCGTTTTATTATGCACTGTTGTAATAGTGCTGATATATTAATGAAGCAAATATACTCTTTTCAAAAAAAAGAAGAAAAAAAGACTCCGCATCTAATTATCAAAATAAATCATATAGTGAAGTGTAATGATATCTTATTTTAGGAGTAGCCAAAAATGTAATCAAGGAACCAAATAAAATCAACAAAGTACATAAATGAAGATCAAACTTGCAATCGTATCAGGTTCGGGCTTTTCCATTAATAAGCTGGGTTAGAGGTCCAAGACACCTTCCTCTTGTTTCATTTACATTGAAGAACTATTTTCAATACAATTGGAACAGACTTGGTCTGAGTTTTGAAGCTTTACAGAACCGAAGAAAAGAAGCAATGTACAGTTATAAATGCTGTAACTCATTGAAATCTTTATACCTTGCAGAATAGGTCACAAGTACACCTAACTAATTCATCCTCTTCGCAATCAACAAGTTCTTAATCTTGATCTTCTCTGAGGTGATGAATATTGAATCTTTCGGGAAGGCTCTGTGAGTAGTTTTGGCAAAGTCCCCTTCAAGAACGATTTGTTCCTTTCAATTGAAATTACAATCCTTCGACATGGCTTGATTAGTTTGTTCGAAATGATGAGATTGATTTGGATGATGGGGGCATGTCCTACCATCCAAACCTCATCCCTAAGATCAAGATGCAACCATCCAGTATCTATTTTTATCCATTTGAATTCAAATATTTGAATTTTAAACTCAAACGTTGCAATTTAGCCACGGTTAAGTAGAAATCCTCTTCAAAATATCGATTTTCTAAGCTAGATTGCTTCCAAACATGTGGTTTATGGATTGCTTGTAAACATGTAGTTTATGGACCTGATCCTCTGCTAGAAGCATCCGAAGGGCTTCAAGAAAAATCCGTGTAAATGGCAAGTTTTTTAGTTACTAAAAAATTGGTTGCTCTTAGATGGCAGTCTGCAAAAACCTAGCGATTTTCTTCTCAGATGTGAAGCTTTCGAGTTGCAATCCATTGCTAGTGCAGTGGGGCATCCAAAGAGCTTCAAATTGGTTTAAAACCCTTTAGGAAACCCTTCGAGATCGACAGAAATGAGTCATCTCCTTAAACTTGCAGTGGTCACACCAGAATCCATGTTGATCTGTGGGTTGTGGATTTAAATCTCCGAGTCTGTGGGTTTAAAGCCATCCCATGATTAGCCAAAGTTCTAATGTCCTGGAAATCTTCAGTCAATCCTTTTATGTCATATGTTCATGAGGACAACCATGAATCAGTGTGTCGAGACTCGGCCCATTCAACTTGGACTCGACCAAGTTACTCAACCTCAAACTTGTACCAAGGCTAATACCTAGGCAAACTGCTCAACTTAATAAAATGGGCCTATTCGCCCAAGAAATTAATAAAGGAAAATTGTTTCATGTGAGCTGGACCGCATTTCTACATGTGGTCCAGAAAGTGTAAAG